TGTATATAGACATCCAATTACGGCGGTGGTATTAAAAAAAAAAACCGAAGAAATACCACCCTCCGAGTATTTTCACCTTAAAATAATTATTGCACCGGTCGAATCGTGTGGGAATGGGCACATATAAAGAAGTTTAGTCCGGCCCTGCTAGACGTTGTGTCGGACGATGAACATCTTTAACATTGCACCATCGTTGAATGAATAACACGGTGGCGTTTCCGGTAATTACCCATTTGGGCGGATACTCGGAGAATGCTCAGGTGCACTGGCTGCGCTGGGTCTGATAGAGTGTAATAATATTATTAATACTAATGGCAATCGATCGCAGGAGCGTGTTCTTGGCTGAATACCAATCGGAAAATGAGTTTATGTAACAATTATTATTACTGTGCGAACCAAAAGCGAGCCGACAAAACGCTTGCGAAATCAATCAAGAAGAGAGGAAAATGATCGTTTCGTTTTTTATGTCATTTGAGCCAATGCCAGGCATAAATAGCAGTTAACCAACATTAATAATATTATTATTGATCCGCTCCAATGTTCAGTAAGTGTTTGTCAGCATTGGTTTATATCGACAAAACCGATAATTTTCATACAGAGTGTCATATTAATTTTATTGCTTTTTCATGATGTATATTATTTATAAATTAAACTATCCGATGATTGCAATCTAATCTTTATAGTCATAAAATATTGTTATTGCTACGCATACCTCGCCTAGAAAAAACTTTAGCAACTTGTGGTTATATATATTTATATAGTAAAGAAATTAATATTTAAACTCTTAACCATAAAAATAATACACTCTATTCGTATATGTACTTCGGCAACAATGTCATCTTCAGCGCTAACGACAGAATCATATTTTGATTACAAAAATACAAAGTAATAATACTAACTTTTTAGTTTTAACGAAACAGTTCAAAGTTTAGCAGCATTCCGCCTACAGCACAAACATTTACACACTATTCTTCGGAGATTTCTTCGAAAACGATTATTCCGACCGGCTTGAACTTAAGTGATGCAATTTCTACCTTGTAACACCCCTTATCGGTCGGTAATATCCCTTCTCGAATTTTATTATTACGATGCCTATATTTTCTTTTAAACTCAATAACGTTTACCATTCACCCCACCAAGAGAAAACATTAAATAAATCCACTTGTTCCTTTATCGTAAGTACATATCTTTAGTGCTTCATTAAAATCATATTATGATTCGAGGCGATTTCGTTTTGTGGAATAATAAGTACATAAATGTGAAAAAAACGTTTTTTCTCTGATGACATTATCATAGCTACCACTATAGTTTTATTAATAACCGTTAACCATTATATTCTATCCTAAGAAGAAACTTTAAGAAAAAAATAAAAAGGCTTAGGTAAATTAATTCAATAACCAATTTCAAGAAGGCTTATTCAAGTCGCAGAATTATTGTTCCTTATGGTTCGAACATGGTTTTTATTATTTGAATATCAATTTATTTTTGTATAACATTTTTGTATATTTATAATAACATAAATGTACAGTGTAGGCCAAGAGGATTTGATATGCGTTTTGTAAATAAATCTGTTATAATAGTCTCGCGACTCTCACTGTGTAGCAAATTTTTAAAACTATTCTGATTAACTAACATAAAATTTACCTATACCTAGCTACTGTATTGAGATATGTATATAAATCTGAATTTAAATGGCGTTTCGATGTTTTACATTTTAATAATACCTGGTAAGCACACTCATGGTCGGAATAGTAATATTTTAAAATGAATAAATGTATTATTGAAGGAATTGTAATTTTCAATAAACACAATTATTTATAATAAATTACCGAAGCATACATACTACAAAATAGCGATAAAAATAAGTAATTACATATTTAATTAAAATGTATGCATACCAAATGTAATTTAGTGTGAAATTTGGCAAGTTTTTTAGTACTTAAATGTATTGTAGTTTTTATACATATAAAAAAAAAGACTTTAGAAAGTGATACTAATATTTTATCACGATTTTATTGCACAAATTTGCATCTAACGGGTCGTAAATCATTTGTAAACGGTCTAATGTGACACGGGTTAAAAACGGATTGAATATACCATTATTATTTACCATTTAAATTTACTAATAAATCTTGAAAATTGTTGCTCATTTAAATAAACATAACGGTTTTATTTCCTGGGATGAATATTATAATATATTTGTATTGGAATAACGAGTTTGAAATGTACTTAATTTAAGATCTTTGTCCCTTTTTTTTTATAGTAATTATTGATTTATGGGAATACATTGAAGGAAAGAAAAAAAAACGAGTCCACATTTTGTAGAGACTATGAGAAGGTGTTAAAACTCATATCGGCTAATGTCTTTCATTCTATCGATAACGATTATAGTTGTGATGCAACATTTTGTGAAATAACAAACTGTATTTAACACATGATACACACATTATCGATACACTTTAACCCAATCCAAAAATTAAATTCTGCATTGGTCTTAATTTATTGCCTAAATCCTTTCAAAGTTATAGGTAGGTCAATTAATTTTTACAATTACAATCCTATAGAAGCTGTGCAGGAGGGAATCATAAACTGGACCGTGGTTAATGTAAAAACTAAGTAACCGGACACGGTACGTTATACACATGGGAACGGTATTAAGGGTTGTTACCTTGTAAGTCCTTACGGCCGGAGAGTACTTAAAATGAACTTAATACGAATTTAATGATGTGATAACTTCCTAATCGTCGAACTACATTGGTAGCACAAACCATAATATTATAGTTGGGAGAATCCAAATGTTTAAAAGTTGCGATACATGTAGTTCGCCAATTCGATTAACTTTGATACGAAAAGACGAGAAGTTAATGGTTTTACAATGGTGGTTTCTTTTTTTTTTTTTTTTGGTTTACATTTATTACCAAAACTTATCTTCAATCTATTGAATTCGTGGTTCAATAAGACAATATTAGTCTAGTAATAATTTGTTTACAGAAACGAAATTACATTAAACTAACATCACTAGAACAACCGCTCAACGATAGTACTTACTTGTCGGTTAAAAAACACACACAATTTGTCAATACTGCGTTACATCCAGAGTTTTAATATTTTAAACAATCCATTAGCTGATGTATACTGATGTTCTGAACAAACGCGTTTTATTTTCCCGTGACTCGGTTAAACAATTAAACGAGTTAAAAAAAACTTTGTTTCCCGAACGGGTATAAACGGGTTTGATATAAAACAAAACCGTTTAAAAAAATTTCGAAAACAAATTAAAAATATTATAATAAACCCTGAACCGAGTCCCGGGTGTATGGCTAATCGTATCATAAAATCTGTAAAATGTTTACACGAACATAATATTTATATTTGTATATTAGTAGGCCTCGGTAAACGTGTAGTTAATTGTTTTTTTTTTAAAGAGATATTAAAACCTTTTTTATACAATATTTATTTTTTTTGATCATCGATAAGTTTTTACTCGTTTCGCTCGTTAAATTTCATGTGTATTTTTATTTTAACCATAAGCCGCTTTATGTTTACGAAACAAGACCATAATAAGAATACGTTTTTCAGAGACTTATTTACATTTTTAGACGCCCTAGAAGACTATTATTATTACCCTATACTATATAAATGCTATTTGGAAAAGTATGAGTAGGACAAGTGTTCTCACTTTGTGTATTGCCGTACATAATTTAAATTTTGAAAAATAATTTTTAACCATTTTTAAGCGAATTGCTTTTGTATAGTTTACAGTATTTTGTAATTAGAACGTTCATCAAATGTAGTCGGTAAGAAAAATCTGTTCTTGAGTATACTCAGCGGCGGGTCAACGGCAACAGTTAATGTAAATTTTAAATAAATTTGTATCATTTCAAACTTAGTAACTTGTTCAATATTTTGACAGGCACCAGATTGCAACCTTTTTATCTGAGCCATCTTAGTACTATTAGGTACTTGGGTATAAATTGTGGTAATATACCAATTTGGGGAATGGGTATCAAACGATTTCAAATTTTTTTTTAATGTTAGACTAACAATAAAGGTCTTATTATGTCAGTAAGCTTTCAATAGTTCGAAAATTGTTTGAGTTTTATAATAACATTGAATACTACTAATTTCCTTAAATTATTTGAGTGCTAAAAACAAGGCGTTGTGAAATTTAAAAATATGAAATGTTACCAAAACAAAATACGGGTAACCGATATTCTTATTTTATAATACGTTAATTCCAAAAACCACTATTTTTCGCAATTTGTTTATTCATACCTCCATATCCTTATTTATCTAATCACCACATATTATCTCTACCTCTAAATCTTCCTACTGTGATATCTTTAACTTGTTTTATTATTTTACTTTCGACCAGCCATTTCAACACGCTCAAACCATAGGTTTTCTCACATTTCCATTTATATTCTCATTCCTCATTTGGTTTAACCTGTTCACTCCACTCACCCATCTCATTTTAATTCATCATCTTCTTTTCAACCACTTCCGTTTTCCATTCATCTTTCTTATTCAGTGCACAACACTCACTTCTAAAGTGTTATTATATTGGTATTAAAAAAAAAAAAAATACAGACAATAATCAAACTAAGATTATAGCCACTAAGAGATAGATATACCTAGTATATGACTGTCAAGATGAAACGGCATAGAGCAATTAATTGAAATTAATGAGATGAACGTACTAAAACCTTATCCCAAGAATGACACGTATTAAAAATGAAAACAGCTATACGTTTTTGAATTTTTACATGGTTTTGCATGTAAATCAACATGTTAAATACAGTTTAAATTTTTTTAAATTTTCACATGTTTTTGTCGAACAAATAAACATTGTCCTTTTACTCCAAACGTCACTATTTTTTTTTTTTTTGTAATGAAAACTAATTTTACATCGTGTACGAGTACACCACAGAGGTATATATTATAGTGTGAGTATAAAAAAAAAATTGCTAAGCGTAAAATATATTGTCGTCGTGTCTTACCCGAAGCCAAGGCGATGAGCAAGAAGAACAAGAAGCATCCGACGGCGGCGGCCGCCGGTTGCCCGGACCGAGGCTCCATCCGGTTGACGACCCGATTTGGGGCCACGGGGTTACGATTATTTATTATAAAATAAAAAAATCAACCGCATACAAAAAAATTATCGTACACGAATTTTTTAGCGCAAAAAAAACAAGTATTATTATTTTATACAACAAGGACCACCACTAGAATACATCGGCGGTGCACCGGCCGACGGTGGTAAGAACGCTGAGGAGACGGTTACCGCTGGGCGTGCGTTCCGGACGGCGGTGGACATGACACTACGACTTGCGTTGGGATTCTGTGTGTGTGTATAAATATACGGTTGTATGTGTGTAGTGCGACGGCGTTGTTTCGTCGACGGTAAGCATCGTCACCATTACATACAGGGTTATTCAAATTTTATGTTACTTTTCCCACGAAAAAGTCCTACATCGTGTTATTTTTTCCTGTGAAATAATAATAACTATTTTAGCTGATAAAATTTCAAAAAAAATCCTTATTGTATTAGCTAATGACCAAAAACTGTATTTAATATAGTCAAGAGAAAAATATTTTTTTTTACAGAATAATAGCAACCTATGCACTTACTATTTACCTATGAAAAGCAGAACGATGTAAGTTATTAGAATTTAAAGGGATGGACTGAGGGTGAGGTAGACTGTAATGTTATTTATATCATAATACGCAACACTCATCCGCACTTCCTTGCTCGCATTAATTTTAAATTCGAATAATACAATAAGTAGTTATTCAAAACTGGTTATTGAATAAATACTTATCAGTCTGATTTTAGTAAGTGATTAAAATAATATGTATGTTGCTATTTTAATCGCTCTTTAAAACTACCCTTTACGGTAATATTTTTTGTATTATTAAATATAATAAGGATAACTTTTTTTAGCTAAAATAATTATTTCATAGAGAATATTAATAAATTTTGAAGTATAGATACATGCAGTGTAATCAAAATTTTGATTTACAGCAATTTTTCTGGTAAAATACTTATTTTAGCTAAAAAAGTTTCATATATAAATCGTTATTCTTTTAAATGATCAACAACAGTGTTTATGTTTTTAATTTAAAATATAATTTTAAAGGGTAGTGTAAGAGGGTAACCTAAATATTTGAGTTGCCTATTAAATATAGAATAGTGTAAAGAAAATTGAATGTCACGTTTGAAGTCATCGGCGATGTAAGGGGTGAACTGTTATGCTATTTTTATCCACGCGCACTTTACTCCTAGTCTTTATAACTTCATTTGCGAATATCTCAAGAAGAAATTATTCAATGCTGGTTACCGATGAGTCTTAATTAGTGTTACATCATTCCGTTTTCAGTAGGTTATTCAAATATATAGATTGCTATTTGAGTTTTAAACACTCTTTAAAACTACCCTTTCAAAACAATATTTTTAACAAACACTATTTGAACATTTTTTTGAAAATCCAATTTAATAACGATTTCATTTGAGCCGTATATGTATATCGTAGAATATAATTGCCGCTAAGCAAATATGTAATCACCCTGTACAAAAGAACCTGTATTTTAGAAGGTCTACCCGAGGGACCGCCACGATGGGATGCGATCACGTAGTCGTCGCCGGGACCTAAGTGTCTATAGAAAACGACAAACGACATCAGAAAAAGGGTCACTATATTACTACTCCTCCGTTTCCAATCCCCCATCCCCGCCTCGCTTGGACCTAAAGAATGATTATGTGCGCGTTTGTTTGTTTTGCACTTCATTAATGGTCCTTCCGTTGAAGAAAAAACAGAAAGAAAGATTACCGTTTAAGCATTCAACTCGCGCACAATTCCCGGTTAAGTGGCGACCTTTCCAATAAGACAATTATCGTAGTTGTTGTTGTTATTACTGTTATTATTATTATCTGTTGCACCAGTGTTAAATACTAAATATAAAAAAAAAATATTTAAACGTTAACATTGTTAACTAAGTACATTGTTAAAGGCTGAGACCAGAAGGGGAAAAGTATGACTTTAATGTCTTGAACGTCCACGAAATGAATTCGACAATACAATGTAATAATCTTGTAGCTAGGTACGACAATAGGTCCGATTATTATTGATGAGGATTTTTATTCTACTTAGTCATTTTATTTTTGCAATATTATTCTATTGGAAAAAATTAATATCGTTCATATCATGGGAAATACATTCCATTTGTCAAGCCGCAATGAGTTTCGTCATTATAAGCTATGATCTTGATTAGACAAAACCCATACTACAATAACAGTGTGTTTTTTGCCAATTATACCAGGACTATACTATAGGCTATCGTTATACCTTAATGATATAGCCTATACCAATCACATCCGTTCAAATCGAGTACCTACCGCGCGCGTTCAATTGTTAACATGTTGCGTTAGGTCGATATGAATTATTTATCGATTTTGTCAGACCGGGATAGAATACAAATGGCCATATTGTAGAAACCAAGATGCTCTTTTATTCAAAATCTCTTCTAAGGAAGCATAATCATAGGAATTTAATTAATACTATTCTTTCGTGGGCGATCAATTGAGAGGCGCCTAAATTACATGTTTTTTCAATAGAAAATATAATTTTGTACTGTGTGTATATATTAAGTCGAAACATTACCTTTAAAACTGTTAAAATGTGTACAAATTTTTTTATATTCTAGTTTTGCTAAAAACAACGGTGGAATGATGTTACATTCATTACAAAGTCTCTTAAACTTAACTTTGTAGTGGTAAATGTCACTTTTTGTCTTTTAGTTGAACGCCCGTGCTACACGAAAAAGGCGAAATTAAAGTAAGAATTTAAACTTGTTAGTAGTAGATGAGCCGAACGAAGATTGTATTAATAAAGAGAACATATTTTAATAGGCGGTTGAGTCAAGTAAACGCTTTATATGATCTACCTTTACAAAAAATATTTAAATATTATATTATACTAGAATATTATCTAATGACTAATACCATCAGTGCTTACATAAAACTTGCATAAATATAAAAATACAAGCTAAGCCTATTTAAAGTTCTGCGGCTTGATACCAAAACAACTAAATATCAATGACATGTAAACACATTTATTAGAACTTCTCAATAGTATACAGCAAATGCATGATTTAATTAAATATTCTGGAAAATATTGATTTTACCACTGTAATATTAAAAATATGTTGTTGTTTTGTGTAAACGAAATTCCCAACGTAGTAGACTTTGACAGGAATACCTAAAGTAAAAACGATTATCAATTTTATTTATCAGATACAATAGTACATTTGAAAATATTTCACGAATTTCAATATCAAAAAAGAATTCTTCGTTAACCGATTTGTTTTTAATTTATTATTAGAACAGTGTTAAACCGATCTGGAATGAAGTATTGAAACATGATTTGTATTACTTTGGCTTTTAGTAATATTCATAGTAGGATTCCATTAAACAGGATGCTCTTTTTTATTACATTGTTTCAATAAATTGTCACATTTTTTTTTTAATAATACACAATAATATTGTCATCCGTTCATACAAAAACAATCGTTGACAGGTATTTTTGTCATCGGTTTTTTTTTTATGAACCATTACATTAATACATAATTCATATTTTTGTAGTGGTACACGGTTTATGCAATGTTACTTATTCGATTGGTTAAGTACATTTCAAAACCTTCATCTGGAGCTTTCCACTCAAACCATCTTTGTCATTCATTATGACGTGACAATAGCATTTTTTAGGTTCAATTCCGGCTTTTCTTTGGATCTATAAAGATAAGCATTAGCAAAAGTGGTACTTATGTCTCGCACAGAACGACTTCAGACTCGCATTAATGCCATCATTTGTTTTTCTTAAAGGTAGGTAAAATAAAAAAATAAAAATATGTTAAAACAAACGATTTTTTTTAAATGATGTCAACCGGGTTGAAGATTGCTTTGTTTGTGTTCTTCAGTAATGTATTCGATGCAATAAATTATAAACCGACATTCTTACTGGAGTACTGTAACGTCGATGCATTAGCTTTCTTACAAATCACCCGTTATCTTGTTGTTTTACCGAATTTTTCTATTTCCGGTATGATGTTTCTGGAAGTTCTAATATCTTTATCCCAACATATTTCTAACGGAGTCGGTTTCCGTGTATACGCAACGTCGCAAGTGTTGTTTCCGTCTTAAGCTTAATGCTTAATGTGCGACGCCACCATTCATCGAACTAACACTACGGTGTCGGATAAATTGTCAGGTGATTTTTTTATCCAATACATCTCTTTCCGTTATACCTTTAAACCTGTTAGTTTTCTTCCGCTTTCACTGCTGTTTAGGCGATCACGTGATAAGATAATCTACCGTTTACATGGAAGTTCGCAGCTCGGCTATGCACTTTTTCAAGTAGGTTTAAACTATGTCTTGTCACCTTATTTGAAATTTCGACACGGAATTACTATAATTGCAAGCTGAAAACGTCCTTCTGATAGATACATTATAGCCATATCGCATAGTCAAAATATTTTATGGCGGTCGTAAGTGTTGTAGGACATTTCGATTTTAGCCTTTTTGGCGTTTAATTAAAACGTTTATGGTAAAATATAAATGATAATTTATTTACAATGCTTAATAAAATATAAGGGTCGCGTTTGCGGTCCGAACTATTCAAGTATAGTTCCCACATCAGTTATTTCGTGAGTCATTGCTTTATATAAGTATACACACTAGCGTGCCCCGGAATGTCCATTTACACGCCTCGTTACACATGACTAATTAATTAATACACTTAACACCATGTAATTGCCCATAACGGAGGGGTCGTCCTATCGTTAAAGCGCATAATACTGCAAAGACATCCGACCCTTTTCCCTATTGTCATACAATGTCTCTTTTGAAATTTCTCTGCACGCTATTATTATTTTTTGTTTAGTTGAAATTATTTTTAATTCGTTCCGAAACAGTTTTTTTGCCAAAAGTTGGACAGTTGTAACGTATGCGATTGTTTTTTTTCTCTGTAACACCTATTTGGGCAAATAAAAAAGAAAAATTAATTAATTTTGAGCCGGGTGAAAAACACGGTAATATTATTTAAATGCGTGCATTTGAATACGGACGCACAGCCGCTGTAAGTAGTGATAATTAATAGGTCTATTTATCTTTTAAGATACAGAAAAAAACGATTTAAAATAAAAATAAATTATTACACGGCAAGTATGAAGAGTTTTTCTTCTCAGAATTATGAGTACAAAACTATTGTTAGTTTATCGTCGTTTGTAAAAGGATAAACTGTAAAATAATAATCTTATACAATTGT